AGTTTGTCACTCGAATGCTATCTCGTTATAAAGGTGTCTAGCTGGTGAGAGTACATAGTGTGCCCGTAGATAACTGGAAATTTCTCCCAGCCTGGCTTTTAGAAATGAACTTTGTGGTATGTACCCAGTAGCTTGAAGGACTTGAAGGCTAGTATGGCCAACAGTGTTGTCAATTATTTTGCGTGGATAGCATGTCAAAAGTTAGAAGACGTCTCATTAATATGAGCTACTTCTTTCTTTGGGTACGTTATTCCATGTAGGCTCACTGCAACATGTTCCTTATGCAATTTGAAAAACGCATTTTATACACACCTCGATTTGAGTCACAGATTGAACTTCTCTTGCAAGCTGTACTTCTCCATCGGGATCAATGGCTTCGTTTTCGTTTTCTTGGGTATTCTCACGGGCCTGAGGAAGATACATCGCGATGTTAATCTTGATAAGGCTTTAATTTCTATAGGATAAATGAACTTATTAAAAGCTGTGAGCTATGATTCGCACTTACCTTGTTTTTGCATTTCGATTGAGGACATCTGCACCGAGTCGAGCAATTCTTGTTCGCCGCTTTACACAGAGAGAAACCCTGACCTTTTCTTTCGGTCACAGACACCTATACAGTTACACATCATTTGCAACACCAAGGGAAAAGAAAATTTTTAAGCCAGGAAAAGATAGGGAAGAAGTTAGCAAAATTTGAAGCAACATCAAATGAAATGGTTGCATGTGGCTTTACCGATCTGTTGCCTACCTCTTGATCATCTGAAATCTCCTCTTCGCTCCCCGCATAGATTCTTGACCCGTAGGCGTTGAATCCCACATGTACTTGCAAATCAATAGATTCGTCTGTTTCCATAATTACTAAAAGAAGGAACTCCTGCTTTCTTTGCACATCGTGATGCATCTTGTTTGGAAAAGACCGGGAGACGGGATTAAAATAGTTGACCAATCAGAGTTCGCCATGTAACAATAGAGGGCTTCCAAACAAAAACAAATGACTGCAAAGGATCTCGGATGAAAATGGGCCTTTGTGAACAACAGTACTGCTAAACTTAAACTTTGTATATCACCACTTAGTGACATAACTAGTTCAATTCTAAAACTCTGTTACCTGAATGCAAGATTAGTGCGTAGACACAAGACAATGCAAATACTTGAACTATTCAAGTTCTGATATCACTATTTTTGCAGAAACAAGACAGTTCCCAAGATTCTTGTGACAAATATAGCATACATATGATGCATGATCCTCGCAGTAGATAGCGTTATTTAAGCAATAGCGAAAATCAGAGCTGAAAAAAATCAGGCCTGTACGGGAATTGAACCACTGACCTTTGCGATACTAGTACAGCGCTCTACCAAATTATTGAGCTAACAAGCCAACTGGGAGCAGGCCGTTAAGTTGATTCGTAAAAATGTATGAACTTCATATATTTCATTGTATCAAATATAACATAGTTGGTTAAAATCTCTTCTGAAATTACAGTCCTTATACATACTGTTGTCTCGGATCAAGACCTTTTGGTGGTACAACTGTGTTTAGCAAAATCCCATATTGCCCTGGATATCCCTCCTGTCACAATGTACAGGGTATTGAAATAACTGGGATTGAAGTCACAATTTGTGAGAACTGTACAGTCTTGGGTATTTATTGCTCTCCAAAAATTCCCAGAGGACAACTTTGTCAGGCAGTCTCAGAAGTGTTAGATACCATTTTGACAGAGAACAACATTATTATTGGAGACTTAAATGTAAATTGTCTTATTGAGGCAAACAAGCTACCTTTGTGGAATTTATTCTTTAGAGATAAATGTTAGAAACAGTTGATATCAACAGACACAACTTACAATAGAACATTAATTGATCATATATTTACAAACATCTCACTTAAATATACAAGCAGGTGTTTTAGAGACTTCACAGATCATAACGCAATTATGGACCTCATTTCTTAGTACTATTAAGTGATTATTTCTTATGGAAAATTCAGACAGATTTAAAGACAAAAAATAGAAATTGATACCCCGTAGTGATTCAAAGAATGCTAATAAACTCAGTCAGCCAGAGTCTTGGTCACAAGGCAAGGCTGTACATTACTGTCAAATGAAAATTAGCCAACATACATGTATAGATTCATATTTGAAACAGACCACACAAATGACAAGATTGCTTTCATTTAATTAGAAATCAGCAGTAATAGTACTAATAGCAATAATAATTAGAGCAATAATTTTCATAATAATAAAGTAAACAAACTGTCTTTCATTTGAATCGA